AATTCCCCATAGACTGGAAGCTGCACATTGCATCGCATAACAATTTTCCAACAGCTGCTGGCTTGGCATCTAGCGCTGCGGGTTATGCATGCTTAGTACAAACGCTGGCATTTTTGTATGGCGTTGAAGGTGAAGAATTGACGGCAATAGCGCGGCAGGGCAGTGGGTCAGCATGCCGTAGTTTATATGGCGGCTTTGTACGGTGGCACATGGGTAACCGTAGTGATGGCAGTGACTCCCTTGCACTACCTGTAGCTCCGGCTGAACATTGGCCAGAATTGCATATTTTCATATTAGTTGTAAATGATGCGCGTAAAAAAACTAGCTCAACCAAGGGCATGCAGTTTGCTGTGGAAACATCAGATCTGATTGCACATCGTGCGAAACATTGCGTGCCAGAACGTATAGCGGCATTAATCCAAGCTATTGCAAGCAGAGATTTTCAAAAACTGGCTGAAATCACTATGCGCGATTCGAATCAATTTCACGCTATTGCATTGGATACGTATCCACCATGTGTGTACATGAATGATGTTTCGCATGCGATCGTAGAATTCGTGCACTCCTACAACGAAGCAGCAGGAGAGATAAAGCTTGCCTACACTTTTGATGCAGGGCCCAATGCTTGTTTGTACGTGTTGGAACGGGACGTATGCGCTGCGTTGGTGGCCATCAAAACCAGCTTTCCAAATGAGGAGGAACACAGTGTCGAATATGTTAAAGGTATACCAGTAGGATGCGAGCTAAAGGAGGTAGGTTGTTGTACATACAAATTCTATGTGTTTAAGATTTGCTTTGGTATTACCAACACCATTTGCGAATTTATCATTATCAATATACATATATGTATGTATAAATATATATATTTCGTTTCAGAGTAACGGTTTCAATGGCAACGCAAGTTTGCCTATTAATAACAAGAATCTCCTTAAATATATTATTCACACGCGTATTGGCAATGGNATCTAGCACTTTGAGCTACCGATAGGACAATAATAGTGCTTATTCGTGACAATAAGAGTTTATGGACTAGAATATTTTGTAGTTTTGCAACAATAGTTATGGTATATCAGCGAATAGTTTACTTGCGAATAAATGTATGTACTTAAGAAAATAATATCACACTTTTGTAACCCAATTGACTAAGTAGACGGATATTACTGTAGTAGAAAATTTCTATTATTTAATAGTATAACAAATAAATCGCTTGCTTAGAGTGAAAAGTTGCTAAGTCCACTTTTTATGAACACTCATATTTTGATACAGGAGGCTTGAGAAATTAAAAACTGCCTTGTTTCGAAAAGGGTAAAAGTCTTTGTTTTATGTTTTCTCTTTCATATATAATGAGAGAAAAAATGTGCTATGTCCAAACAAAAAACTCCAAAAATTTTATAAGGCCAAACTGGTGCGAAATATTTTAATAAAGATCGAATCCCTCTGATTCATATGGAGTTTTTCTTTCCTTTAAACAGATAATGTGTATTCAAAGTTTTGCGAAATACTTGAAAAAATGGCTATAAGAATTTGTTTCCTCCGGTACAGTTTTTAAATTGGGACTAAGCCACTTTTCACTCTAGCTAGTGAAAGGTATTCTCACTAATGGTTCAAGTAGTGACTAATTAATTCTATTTATCGAATATATTACTTTATGCAGACAAATTATTATAATTAGCATTCTTGGATTTTTAAACGAATGTAGATGTTTGATTTTAAAAAATAAAGTAATGAGAAACAACCAAAACATAACTAACATAAAAATCTAATAAACATTCTACTAAAAGATTTTACTTCATACATACATATATGTTATGTATATGATTGTTGGTTTTCCTACAGACTAAAAGTATCACAACATAGGAATTATCGGTGTTGTAATAACAGAATTCGTTCTAAAACACATATTTTTTATATACTTTTCTTTTTTCCTTAGTCCAGCAACACTCGAAAATACGACCTTTTAAAAATAATTTTAAATATCTTTACTGATGGATATACTATGTATGTATGTATCCGTCGCTTGAATAAAATATGATCGTAGGCGGTATTTCACGATTTTTAATTGTAGATACAGTTATATATTTTAAAATAAGATCTTTTGATTGGTGTCAACAGATTTTGGATACCTCCTATAATTTCCGAGATATTCACTAAAATTTTATCTGCAATTTAGTACAAATTGAGTTAATAATGCAGTCTTACTAAACTAATCAAGATCTTTCATATTGCGTTATTAATTTTGAGAAATCTCCTTTGTTTTCCAAGATACTGAGTAAATTGATTTAGTAGAATTTTACTAAAGAAAATCCTCCATAAACTCGAAAATAATTAACAATAAACAATAAAAATAAAATTCTCCGAAACATTGGAGAAAATCCATCATCGAGTTTTAGAGAAATTGCATGAATAGACTTCTTTAATCGTGATTTCCCAAAACCTGCTGAAATTAACATACGAGGCAGGAATGTATCATTTTCAAAAATATTTTATATATGCATATATACATACATATGTATAATTAAAAACGCCGTGTTAATGACAAAAACAGATTCAAATTTTGTAGCTGGGCAACTCTGTTTACCCCAACTATTGCGCTGCCAATCTAAAAGAATTTGTGTTTTCTACAGATTTAATTACATAAGGAGCAACAAACAACGCAAACCTACATATTTATAAATGTATAGTTAGATATCTATTCAAAAATTTTTGTTTTTTGCGAATTCAAATATGTTTTATATAAATTTTTTGTAAAATTAAACATTACCATAAAAGTGTGGCATCTTTTATCTGTAACTCACACATACATGAGCTCGAAAACTGATTCTGTCATTAAATTGGGGAAGAAAACAGAAAAATATTTCATTTCTCGATCATAGACGTTTTATAGAGCAGAGTTCGTAATAAAAAAGTGGAAAATTACTTAAAAATTCATTGTGTTATAACGTTAGCAGATAAACTACGGAAGGATGTGCTATTGGTAATGAATTTAACAGTGCTGAAAATGAGTATTGTCCGAAAAATCAAAAGTTTTACAAAATGTCGAATAAGCTAGTGACGACGAAGGCAAATGGGCAAATGCCAGCGCCAGCGTTGTCGCAAATGGCCAGTTAGCTGGCGCTGGCGTGGAAGTGACAATAGCATTGGCAGCGGCAGCGGCGTGTGATTTGTGTTGTTTAATTATTGCCTGGCAGCTTGTATAATGATACACGTTGCAGTGATGCAGCAGGCGTAAAAACAACAAATACCAAGCAAGTGTAGATCTATGTTGTCTGCGTGACTGATGCATCAGGGAATGTGAATGATCTACAAGCAAATAAAGCCCAAAGTGTACATTACCAAAAGGCGATATGTAAGATTTGAGATCGTGCATTGACCCGCATTATTATCGGTTTCCAGAGCTCATCTTTGATAGCAAGCACTCATTGGGAACAATTTCAAACGCTTGTGTAATAACACATTTTAAGGAAATGGTTTAACTTGATGCTGTCATTTCCAATCACTCGAATAATTTAAGATATGTAGCAACCTTATGTACACTTTCAAGTGTTTAGCTTTCCCCATTTATAACGTGTTGCGTACCCGCACGGGCACAAAATTATGTATGTATGTAAATGCCATGTATGCCCACGACAACCTCGATGGTGGAGGTAGACGGGTGTGACGAAAGGTGACACACAGTAATCATGACAGTATGTTTGTTTCCAAATATGCGTATATTCACGTCTGCGTATATATGTGTGTTAACATTCCTATGCGTTCCGACCTGTTTGTAACCATAAATTGTAGTTAGTTGTGAACTTAAATAATCTAGGTGTAATAGAAAAAGCTTGTAAAAATAAGATGAAAAATGAGAATATGAAAACTTGAACCAATATTGGCGGTCAGGTTCAAGTTCCATTTATGGCATTCTCGACAGTCGTATGCTTGTGTGAATACATACATGTACATATGTATGTAGAGTATGTATTTATCTACAAATGTATATCCATAAAAATATTTACGTACATGTCTAACAAACGCCGCCAGTCAATTGCCAGTTGACCCTTCTTCGAGCAGAACACCTCGTCTCTTCCTCAACCAAAATCGCCAATTGTATTCTTGCGTAAATTTATTTGTTTTACTTTTATCTTAGTTTTCAAAGTTCTCCAATAAGAAAAGAATTACACCTTAAAATACATAAAGGAATCTCTGTTTTTATAATCGTTAGAGAGCAGTAGTGGTTTAGCAAAATGGTAACTGGAAATTAGAAGTCTAAAGAGCGTGTCGGACGTGGCAATATATTTCGATGCAATAACTTTCGGAAAGGCTGTCAAATTGAGAAATCAGTTGCATGAGCAGTCACACCTTGCATGGAAAGTGTCTTTCGAAAGAGGTTTTTATTTCCGAACGGCGAATTGCAGGAAAAATTTCTGAAATCGCTTTTTGGCTGCTCACACAGCGAATGNTCGATACTAAAATGCAACCATGGGCGGTGGGGTTGTCGTTTGTTTGCTATTTCTCTTGTAAAAGCGAGAAAATATAGGTTATAATTAACATATTTGTCGTGTAAACAATAATTTAACAATTAACACCCAAATTCATAAAAAATAAAGAGGACTTTAACTGTTTTATAAATCGAAAATTTGTATGAAAATGTCACTTTATAGAACTCTATAAACCTATTATATTTTTTATGAATAAGGCCATAAGTATATTAAGCAAAATAATATATTTCAAGCATTTTTGATATTTAATTCAACAATATTTTTTATCATTTTACACAAATACACGATCAGGGCCACACGGCAACACTCGATTAGTTTGACAGCACTTGCAGAAGAAATAAAAATTGCTAGTGCAGCACGAGCAAGTTGAAATATATTTCCGAAATCGATTTTCGCTCTTGCAGTTGCAGTCCCACCTTGCAACTTTTATTTCTGAAACTGATTTCCGAAAGGTGACAGAATAATCTTTCTGGCTGTTCACACATCGAAATAAAATTTCTCTTTCTCAATTTGACAGCGAATTGAGTGCGAAAGACGGAAATATTGCCACGTCTGACAGGCTCTTAATAGCTCAAAGTGCGATTTTAGAAAGTAATCACGCATTTTTGAATGTGGGTATCTACATATTGACATATGTATGAACAATAGGGATGTAAATTTTCGAGATCTCGTTATTACGATCCCGGGATTTTCATATATGTAGTACATTAAATTTCCACAAATAAACTCGAAAAAATTGCATCAATATTGTTTGAGAAGCTCTCCTACCATATAATAATAAATACATGTGTTTGAATCCTATCCTTTTATATAAAATGAAAATTATTTCATTAGTAAAAAAAAGAAAAGTAGGATAAAGTACAAGTTTCAAGCAATTTTGGCAATTTTTTGACAGGACTGGACGAAAAAATTGAAATATACTTTGTATGGAAGAAAATGCGTGACATATGCAGTTATTTATATGTACATACATATGTACAGCTAGACTTTTTAAAAAAAATATATAATATTAAATATACAAAAGAAATACAGCCAAAACTGGTCAAAACAAGGCTTTAATATTATTCCCACCAGTGCTTTAATCCCGTACAATTTAAGCGGAATTAGTCGGCTTTAGCAGATACATATTCATAAAAAAATCAAGTATTTCAAGGTTACTTTGTAGAAAAGAGGTAAGCACATTATGTATGCATTGCTTTTTATATTAAAAAGAAAACAAAAACGAAAACGTTCAAACATATCCATATTTGCTAAAAAGTTATAACATAATATACTGGCATCCCGGGATGGACATTCCTAATGTTCATACATACTTATAGTATATTTACAAAAAAAAAAGATATTTAGATATACAGTAGCGGTCATATCAATAGCACCCCTTTTTCAAAGTGATATTATTTGTCACTTATGTTTTTTTTTAAATTTATTTTTAAGTAGTTGACTTAACACATGAAAAAGTGGAAAAGCAACAACAGCTTACGTAAGTAA